ACTGTCTCCTTCACCCACTTCTGTTGCATTCCACTCATCAGCAGCTGGTCGAGTGTGAGGCAGCCTTTAAAACAACACAACTCAGTGACCTAAACAGTCGGTCACCGAAATCAGAGGCTTTTTAACAGCAGTAGTGCTTAATTCATGTCTCCAGGTACAATAAAGCTACTTTGAGCTTCTTCCTTGCTCACAAGTTGTTACCACAGCAGGTAACCCCCTATATTTGATTACTTACTTTTATATTGGATGCCCTTTTCTGACACAACCTCAAAGGGGTTTGTGTCTCCTCCTGTTCTCAAACCATTGGCTTTTCATGCATTAGACAAATGTGCAAACTGCTGCCCTGATTTATAAATGTGTATGGGTGACATACAGATGTGTTAAAGGCTTTCATAGTGGATCTAATCACTGTCTTGCGGCAGATTGCCCCCCTCTGAGCCTGGTTCTGCTGGTGGTTTCTTCCTGTTAAAAGTAGGCTTTTCCTTCCCACTTTTGCTAAGTGCTTGTTCAAAAGTGGTCCTTTGATCACTGGGTTTTCTCTGTATTATACTTTACAATAAAAAGCTCCTGTTGTTGTGATTTGGCACTATATAATTAAAACTGAATTTCATTGAATTGATTCAAACGCTACACAGCGTTCACATGACATTATTACCTAAATCTGTGAATCTGAATCTGATTTCATCGACAGCCACTTAACTATTTGACTGATTGCTCCCGACTGTTGATTGAATCCATCTCTTTAGTTTAAGGATTGAAATATGGTAATTGTGAGGCGCATGTATGTAATGCTAACATGATTTTTTATTCATAAAATCAGTGCAACTCCTGCATTTCTGCTCTGATGTTATCCTTCCTGTTTAAATTAACAGCCTAATGACTAAATGACAAAGGGGCTAATATGTGACGCAGAGCCAACACCATAATGGTTTCCTTTTGATTTCTCTAACAAAATGCTTTAGCACCCTCTGTTGGAGAAAAAATGACATAACCAAACATACAGCTTGACCTTCACTTTTCTTCACTCATCCTATTAATCTAATCTGGTAACACTCAGTATTGCCCTGTGCCTTTATTAATTATGGTCAACTGCTTAATTACAGCAGTCCTCGCATTTGTGCCATGTCGCATATATGTAGGGCTGAGTAAACTCTGCAGTCCTTCATGTGTGCATGCTTCCACCGATTCTGTGTCACAGTATATTTCCACAGCTCGGTATTTGTCACAGATGCACTTCATGAGATAGAACAGACATATTCCTCTTTAATGTCCTTTGCTTCCTTCTTCATTTTCTTCATTGCCTTAAAAAAAAACCTTTAAGAGTAAAGGACTAAGTGCTTTAGCGTATGTAGGAATATGGCAGCTTTCCAGGCATCCTGTGTGTGTGTGTGTGTGTGTGCGTGTGTGTGTGTGTGTGTGTGTGTGTGTGTGTGTATGTGTGTGTGTAGTCTGTGACTGCTCAGTGTTATTTAGACTAAAGGGACAGATCTTATAAAAAAAATATATTCAATTAAACTAAAAAAAAAAAAA